GGTGATTGATGGATATATATATATATCTGTTGACAATAATGTACACATAGAGGAAAACCCTGGAACTAACAATTATGAAATCGAGTAATGGGCGGGGCATCTTAGACCACCTGTATATTTGGTGGATTGCTAGAATAAGAAGGAAGTAGGGAAAGCCGAAACCAAGGTAAAAAGGGAGAGAAGAGTCAGTCAGTCAGTCAGTGCTTGTGTCCTTTTCTTTCTCTAGGGGTGTGAGATGTGAGAGTCTCCTCCATAAATAAATCCAGATAAGTCAAATGAAAGGAGCTATATACAAACGAGCTCATTCTAAACCCAACAAAATTTCCTTAGAATAAGGAGGATCACTGGACAATGGCTAAATTCCATTCCAGTAATTGGACTTTTCTCCTTGTTTCCAACGACGAAAGAAACAGTCATCCTTTCTTTGTTTAAAATATAAAAAACAAAGTCGTCTTCTTGGCTTGCGTACTGGGATGTATGGGACTCCTCTTCTACGGATCTCACATCTACCATATTTCCACAATAAAATCCCGTCCACCTTTGGATGGATCGCAACAGAAAACATCATTGTGTACACTATAACCGGAGTTTAATTGTCCAATTGAAAGCACTAATTAACAGGCAATGGAATGGAGACTACTAAGCTCAATCATTCTGATACACGCAATGAACAATTTCACGTATTAATTTATGCTCATCTTCTTGTCCCAAAATCCAACACATCCCTTATTTCTCTTTACCCTATGCTAACCCTTCTTAGGAATCCTGCATATTTTATGGAATCCCATTCTAACTGAACCAAACAAGCAGGGGAATAGGTGATTTTGAATTTGATTCTGAGGAATTGCAATTCTGATTTTGATTCCAATTACAAACCAAATGAATCTTTATTAATGTTCAACATTGTATTACAACTACAAAATCGTATTAACGTTCAACATTTGGAAAAAGAAATAAATCATGTTATTGTTTACAAATTAAGTAAAATCTTCCACTCATTGCTACAAAAGTTTATACAAATTAACCTTGTTCTATTTTCACCCAAATGAGTGAGGGGGTACCCCATACAGATATATATAAATATATAGAGGTGTCAATGGACCGGTTTTGGGTTGAATTCCATCCAAATCAAAATCAATTTAGACAAATTGAACGGACCAATAAGACATTTTGAATTAATTTGGATAGACTGGATGGACCAATATGACATATTGGATTGGACCCGGTCTGTCCATAATGAATTTTATATTGGATTGAGCCAATATCTCTAATCCATTAATAGAAGATAAAAACATAGGTATCAACGAACAAGGTTTGAGTTGAAACCAATCTAAATTAACGGAAAATTTAAACAGATTGGACAGGACAGTTTCTGGATCGGTCCAAAATAGTCCAATATATTCATTGGACTGAATTGGACCAGGTCCATTTGTAATGGGCTCACATTGGACCGGATGAAATTGGACCAAATCCAGTCCAATTGACAGTTTGACACCACTAAATATAAATACAGGGTTACAAACACATCCCTCCACCTTTCTACGAGTACAATCTGTTGATTGATATGGCAAGGCAAAAAAACCACCCTTCACTTATCCCACTCTCAGTTGCTGTCAACATCTATTTATTTATTTATTTATTTTGAAAAAGTGCTGTCAACATCTAAATACATATGTTCAATCAAAATTCCAATTATGCCTCTATTTGTTTGACTTTACTTCAAATAGACCAAATTAAAAATGTCCATTGTGACTTAGAGTGAACAATCTATTTCGTATTTCCTCAATAAGAAAGAAAAGTCAAAGCATCTTGTATCATCCATCCATGAGTTAATCCTTTTAGAATCACATATCATCTAACAATTTCTAAATGGGCCCAAACTTTACAAGTGGCATGCTTAGAGGATGGGCTTCAATACAAATGGTTTTGATCTGTCACAATGCCATTACTTTGGCCATATCAAGAAACAAGACATACATTTTTGTAATAGGTTCACACATCCAAAACCCAACAAGGGCATCTTCGATATTTCTCATATATTCTGTTAAAGCAGGTATCAACAGAATCATTAGTGAGGGGGGTTGGCGACATGGCGTGAATGAATATGTTTTAGGCTTTTAGCCAACCAGTGACGAATACGCTAGCTAGTGTGTTTCATGATTTACTCCATGAAATAGAATGCAAGAGGAAGACACTTTCATATCATAGATAAAAAGGAGAGGTTTCAAGGTAAGAAGAAGAAGCAGAACAAAAGAGAGGAATGAATGGGTTACGGAGTCCTCCTTCTCCTTCCCATGAATTAAAACATGAAAAATCCACGCCGGGAATTCTATTACTTTTTTTACCGTTTCCCCAGACGGCCAGACCCAAAAACCAGAGTCCAGACCGACAGATATAGCGTTAGAAGGACAGCCTGTCTGTCTGTGTTGTTGCCTCCTCTGTACTCACTCAAGTCTCAACCAGGACGACTGGACGAGACCCC